GAATGTGAAGAAAAAAATAATAGATTAAAAAATTTTAAATGTCACTATTCTAAAATAAATTTTCTTTTTTAAAAATTATTTATTTATGTGTGCATGTGTGTGTGTGTGTGTGTGTGTGTGTGTCCAGCTCAGCCCACTAGGGGGTGGGGCTGGTGGGCATGTGGTGCTGGGGGATTGAACCACCATCCCTGTGCTTTGCTAAGCTTGTTCTAAATAGGTGCTTTAGACCACTGAGCCATCTCACCAGCCCTCTAAAATAAATTTTTAAAAAATAAAGCATCTCAAATCTTGGGAACTCTATAGGTAATCTGGTACAGATTCTTCAGATAAATACTAACAAAAAGAAAAGGACAGGGGCCGGGGAGATGGCTCAGTGGAATAAACACTTCCCTGGCAAGCTCAAGGGCCTGAGTTTGGTTCTGCCAAACAAAAAAAGGACAAGTCTGCTTAAGCAGAGTGAAACAACTGTAGTTGATCCGAGAGTGCTGTGCACGGGGCACAGCAGAGACAGGATTGAAACTAGGTGTGATGGCATGCACCTGTAATCCCAGAACCTAGGAGGCTGTAAACAGGAGGATCACTACAGTCTGATCTATATTGTGAGACCCTGCAGACCCTGTCCTAAATACACTTAAAAAGAAAGAAAGAAGGAAAGGACAGTTTGAGGACTCCAGAGATTAAGAGAGAGTTATAAACCACATAAAATACTTTTTAAAGGCAAGATTAAGTAATAGTATTTAGGGCTAGGAAAGTCAGGATAACAGCTACCCATGACAACAGTGAGGAAACTACAACTGAGACAGTGTCAGGGAAGGATGCCATTCACTGGAGTCACAAAGGGCTCACCTTCATGTGGATGAGGATTACAACAGTGTCCCTAGTACAATCCATAATGCAACACAGTGTGATGTGTGCTTTATGATTCTATTTAATAAAGAAGAATTTTGGTTTGATTTGAAGTAGTGTTATCAGAAGCGTTCCTCCTGACCCTGACTCTTAGAGCTGCATCACAGATTGCACTTTTCTCTTTCTCTCTCTGCTCCCTTCCTTTCTTTTCCTTTCTTGTAGTGCTGGATATTGAACCCAGGGCCTTGTGCATGCACAGCAAGAGCTCTACCTCTGAGCCTGAGCCCCAGCCCCAGCCATTTTTCTTTTCTTTTAAAGACAGGATTTTGCTATGTAGTTCAGGCTGGCCTTGAACTCAATAGGTAGTCCATACTGGCTTGTACTCTCAGTGATCCAAGCACTGGTGTTAATGCACATGCACCACCACAACCAGCTAAATATAGGTAAGTTTTTAGATAAGCACTAATTGCTTAGATTCTATCCTGAACTGAAGAAGCTAAATTCCTACTAATTCTTAATCATTAGGTCAAATGCTGAGGAAGCACACAAAATATGGCAAAAAAAAAAAAAAAAAAAGTTCTAATACTATTCCTGACATTTCTAAACAAGATAGAATAAACTCTGGTGGAAGCGCCTGCCTACAGATTCCTAGTTTTCAAGATACGAAATCAACAAACAAAATTCCCGTATACCAATAATGAGCCCACCAAGAAAGAAAGGAGGAAAACTCCGTTTGTTTTTTAAGTTTTTTTGAAACAGGATCTCACTCTATAGTTCAGGCTGGCTTCGAACACATGCATCCCAGGCTGGCCTCCAGGTCACAGCAATTCTCCTGCCTCAGCCTCCTGAGTGTTATGACTGCAGGCATGGCACCCCCACACCCAGCCTCAAAAATTCCACTATGACAACCTCAAAAAATTAAATACCTAGGAATCAAACTATCAAGGAGGAGAAAGAACTCTATAATGAAAACTACCAAACTCTGAAGAAAGAAGTTGAAGAGGGCTTTAGAGGATGGAACAACACCTCTTGTTCTTGGATTAGCAGAATTAATACAACTAACTTGGACATATTGGGGCCGGGGAGATGGCTCATTAGAATAAGCGCTTGCCTGGCAAGCACAAGGGCCTGCGTGTAATCCCCAGTTCTGCCAAAAAAAATAAAAATAAAAAAAAGACATATTACCACACACAATCTAAAAGTTTAATGCAATCCTATTAAAATACCAACATTTTTCACAAAACTAAAAAATCCTATAATTCATATGGAACCAGAAGAATCTCAGAATAGTCAAAAAACAATTCTGAGCAAAAAAGGAGTATAGAAGATATACTACTGGGTTTAAAGTTATAATACTTTACTAGAGTAACAAAAACAGCGTATTTCTGGCACAAAAATTGATATGCAGACCATTACGATAGAACAAAAGACATGAAAACAAACACATGCCCTTTCAGCCATCTTATTTTTGATAAAGATATTAAAAACATATACTGGATAAAAGACAGCCTCATAACAAATGGTGCTGGGAAAACTGGTTATCCTTGTGTAGAAGACTGAAACGAAGTATGTCTCAACCTGCACTAAAAACAAATCAAAATGGACTAAAGGCCTACATTAAAAACAGAAACTTTGAAACTGCTGGAAGATAACAGGGAAACACTTGAAGCCATAGCACAGGCAAGGACTTCCTGAACAGAACTCTAACAGTATACCAAACAATATCAAGAATCAACAGATAAGACTACATCAAATTAAAAAACTTCTGCACAGCAAGAGAAATAATCAATAGGTGAAAAGACAGCCTACAAAATGGGAAAGTTTTGCCAGTTACTCTTCTGATAGAGGACTAACATCTAAACTATATAAAGAACTAAAAAAGATTATACCCTCCCAAAAGCAAATAACTCAATCTAAAAATGGGTAAATGAACTGAACAGACAATGAAGGAGTCTGATGACCATCCCAGGTTGACCAGAGACCACTTTAAGGTGCTTCCATGGTGCTACGCTCTTACACCTGCTCAAGATGTAAAATGTGAGTTACTGAGGCCCAGTAACCACAGCCACACCCACAACTCCCATCACGCTTCAACCCTGCTCCTGACAATCAACCACCAGACCTTGTACTTACTCAAGCCTGGGCCCTGGCAGGTAGCCACAACTCCTTTTCACTGAACTCTCCCTCTCAAAGGTCCCATTTTGACCTGTTCCTTTCACAGCCTGTCTTTATGCTCATGACCATATAAAAGACCTTGTGGCCTATAAAAGAACTGCTAGTCTGGTTTAATTGCCAGAATGGTCCCTCTCAGATTTGTTCTGAAGTAAACCTGTCCCACTAAGCTCATGGCTTTGTTGTTTCCCCCTTGTTTCCTAACAGATACTTCTCAAAAGACAAAGTACAAATGGCCAATAAGTACATGAAAAAAAATGTTTATTATCATGTTTAGCTACTAGGGAACTACAAATCAAAATAACTCTGATATTCTATCTTATCTCTATCAGAATGGCTATCATCAGGAACACAAAAACAACCAGGCATGTTGGCAAACACCAATAATCCCAGCACTCTAGGAAGATAAGGCAGGAGAATTTCAGGTTCAAGCCCCCCCTGGACAATGTAGCATCTTAGGGAGACTCTGTCCCCCACAAAATTTAAGAAGTTAGACTTTAGCTCAGTACAAAAGCCCTGGGCTCAATCCCCAGTACCACCCCCCCCAAGCACATGAAAGCAATAAACATGCAAAAATGTGGGTTTGCAAATGGGTGACACAGAAAGGACTCTCTCCTGTTGTGACAGCTATATTATTATCTTCTCAATATCAATTTCCCCCTATTCTGATAACAGCACCCTGATTTTCTGTATGGGGAACCTCCCTTATCATGTTTTTCACCCCTCTCAAGGGGTAGGCAAATGAATCGTTGACCAGTGATTGGTTGAAGAACTGCTATATGATCAAATTAGTTCAGTGTGACTCAATTCCTGGGCTTTTGCTGTGCTGATGGAAGAAGAGAACTTTTCAGTAGGCACAAAACCAAGAGGATATAACAGAAGCTGGTGTTGGTCATTCTTGTTCACATGTGGTAAACCTGCTTGGATGCAACAAATGCCAAGAATTTGATTATTCGGACTCTAGGCTTGATCAAATCAATCCCTAGTGAGTTATAAAGGCCAACTTACTGTTGTTTTGTGGTACTAGGAATTGAGACGATGCTTTCACCTACGCTGTGCAAGTGCTCTCCTACTGAGCTATATCCTCAGCCCTTTCCACTTATTTTGTGACAGTCTTGCTCCAACCTGCATATCCTATTAAAAACAGATCTTAAGCTTTCTTTTTCTCCATTTATTCAACAGTAATTGAATCCTTCTGCTTCATGCTCCTGAGTGCTAGGATTACAGGCATGCACCACACCTGGTTTCTTTGGACAGTTCTCGATTCTGTTTAACTTCTGCTATCCTTTAATCTCCTTTCTGAAACCCTAAATCTTTCAAGAGTCAGTTTAAATCCTCTGTCTTTAAGATATTGGGAAGGAGGCAACAGTTTATTCAGGGTCAGAACACCAAAGAAAGAACTAGGTGGAAACAGGAAGTACACTTTTATTAAGTTATTAAGTATTTTGGTCTTTCCCATGAAACTACAAGTCCTTCACCCAAGCGTCTCATTGTACATGCTACCATAAAACATGTGTCATAAAGAACTTACAGAAATAAAAAATAAAACAATATGAAACATTGCATTGTAAGCCCTAGACTCAGGGGCGACTAAGCACATTCACAGACATTCTTCTAGCTAATACGAGGTTGGTCCCCTCGTTCCCGCTCCTCACGCCTCACCCGCTACCCCGTGGATCACGGCTCGCCAAACCCCATGCTCTTCACAAATCCCACTCCACCCAGCACGCTTTCCAAGAGGTTCTTAATACCAACCCTCACACAACTCACGCCTGGGTTCCAGAGTAGGACACGCCCCCTCACTTACCCACCCTACAGGTGGTTCGGCCCCCGTGGCCCCAAACCTTACAATACTTCCTTCACACCCCTCTGCTCCACAGCTCCGGCTGCAGGTCTCCGACGACCGCAGGAGCCGCCTCCCATTCACAGAGTCTGAGACAGCGCGGCGAGCCCTGACCACCTACTCAAGCGGGTGGCCTCACCTCTCTTCCAAGAGCTCAGTGGGGACACCACTTCCACTCGCTCAGAAATGAGCTCGGCCAGACTGGAGCGGAATAAGGCCGCCCGCACAGTCACGGCCACCAGCAGCACCAGGGCCAAGGGAGCCGCCATGACAACTGGGGCGGGCGTGCAGACGGGAAGGAAAAAACGAGGCGGAAGAACCTCGCATCTTGACCGCCACCCTTTGTAGTTCCGCGACCGGATGCGAGCCGCAGCTGCCGCTGGCGCTGCCAAACATGAGAACTACATCTCCCAGCGCCCCACGCGGCGAGACAGGCGGGACGACGGAAAGTGGGGTTTATCAAACTTGTAGCAAAGGACTGGGGAAACTCCTTGACCAAACTCGGGTGAACTGTAAAAGCGCGCAGGTGCAAGCTGAAGTACTGCAGTTCTCTTTCTAGAATTGTGAGAGTTTTAAAGAGACGATAGTTTTGCTCTTGTGTTTATTTTTAGTGTTAAGTTGTTTAACCGACTGAGGAGCATTTAGAGATTTGTTCAGTCACCTTTAAGCTGTTATTGAAAATGAGATTATATAAATTCACAATTAAATTATGTTAAAAACGGAAATAAGAATTTAAAACTCATCATGCTGGTGAGATGGCTCAGTGGTCTAAAGCACCTACTTGGAACAAGCTTGGCAAAGCACAGGGTCGGTGGTTCGATCCCCCAGAACCACATGCCAGCCAGCCGCGCCCCCAGGTGGGCTGAGCTGGCCACACACACACACACACACACACACACACACACACACGTAATAAATGGTTTTTTTAAAAAAAAAGAATTTAAAACTCATCAATGCTTAGATTCCTAATCGTTTAACAAAATTTTTGCTTAATCTGTGTTAAGTTTATTTATAAGGGCTATAATGGTATGACAAATGCTATGTAATAATTTACTGCTGCTTTTCTCAGTCACATCAGGATGGCAGTTTGAAGTCCCTTCAGGTGGGAGTATTTACACAAGAGAAATCATCAAACACTACAAATCATTGCCACTTCATTAGCTAATGTATGAAAAGTGCTCTGATGAGGACTCAGATATTAGGTGGAATAATGGAAATTAATTACGCAAGGAAATTTCAGATCTGTGAAGAAAACGAAACAGAATGCATCAGAAGGATACCTATGGTTGACAACAACTATTTCAAAATGGCTAGGAGAAAGGATTTGAAATGTTTCCCGTATAAAGAAACGGCATCTGATACAATAGATACATCATTTTAAGGTTTGTGTCTAGTTGTCCCCCACAGCCTCATGCAGTCATGGGGCAGCTTTTGGAATTTGTGATTTTTTTTTCATTTTTTGCATCTATTGAGAAACAAATAGCAATGAGACAGTTTCAAAATCGATTAATAGGACAGTTTCAATAATGAATACATTGCATATTGTTGTCTTCGTAGTAGTTATTCATAGTACAAGATGAAGACATGATATTCTGTCCAAACACTATTAGTACAAATCTTCCCATTGAATTAAGAAAAAATAGCTGTATATCTATCCTATTTTGTATATACAGATACAAAATGCTCTTTCATTTGTATCCCCTTTTTTTGTTAAGTTTTGTCAGAGGTGAGTATTCCATTGCCATTTAAATATTGTAGGTGCATGAATTCAGCAAAATAATCCAGTATAGTCCACTAGTCCATAATAGTAGTGAGTTATCTGTAGGACTGGCAATGTCAGAAGTTGATGACTTGAGCCTTTTACAGCTCAGCATATTAATATGGCTTTACTTTTCACACTACATTATTATACTTTTCTGCTGGATGGTTAAGACCAAGATAAAGCAAGACCAACATAACAAGAAATGTCACTTTTGTATGTGACAAGGTCAATCAGATCCCCTCAGGATTTACCCTGAAACCCTGTACCACAGTTTGTAGATCCTTTGTCAGTGTCAGCCATGTGAATGAGTCACAGCCATTGCTTGACCAATTTACTTTCTGTGAAAGCCTGAGAGAATGTTTTCTCTCCATGTGACTCTCCTTAGGCACATTCTACATCGTCAATCACTTTCCTCTGTGGCCCCATGATCTCCTTGATCAGAAAATTTAAGACCTCACTGAGTTACAGGATGTTACAGTACAGGTTCTCTTATGTCCTGAGTCCTCACTGACATTGAAAGGCTAGGGCCAAAATGTTGGCTGTCCTTATCGCCCTTCTTTTTCTCTAATTTTTGGTCTGCAAACTTAAGTTGTTAACCCTCCAGAAGAGAAGCTTAATGATATTATTATTCTATAACATAAGCAGTTGAACTTAACTTCACTATTTGTCTGAATATCAAATATCTTAGACATAGCATGGAACAGGTATTTTTCCATCAAGTATTGATATGTTAAACTTTAAATCCCTACAGAATGTGAAGAAAAATAAAAAATATTTTTAAAAAATTGGAATAAACAATTACATATATCTATACAGAAATTTAGAGATCTAACCATGTATAGCATTGTAGCAGGACAGTCCTATAACCTTTTTGTTTCTTGTCTCTCGTTTTCATTTATTACCCTTTTTTTAAACAAACATTTACTTGAGAGACAGTATAGCAGTAATTGATATGACATGGCAAATAGTACATATTTAGAAACTAGAATGAGAGTCATTCCAAGCATGACCCTAGTATTATTCATTGCTATTCAGTGTAATTGCTTAGTTTACAGGCATCAGCATATATAGTTAGGGTGAGAATCCTACCAATTAACTGCTAGTTTCAAAAACCAGCTGAAGAGTCTCAGGATCATTGCCTTAACCATCTTGTGCTTATAAATGTATGGTTTTGCCCCTGTCATGCTTCCTAGCTTTTCCCCTTGCCCTTTCTTCATTGTTTAATCCTTAAGTTCTCGCTTTCCTTTTAATTGTGTTATACCTTTCTCTTTTTGTTTCCTCTTTTGAGTTCTTACATTAGGGAGACTACATGATATTTACACATGTGGGTCTGGTTTATTTCACTTATGAGTATATCTTCAAGTGGCATCCACTTAAATATAAAGGCTTCAAGTTTGTCATTCTTTATAGCTGAGTAATACTCCATTGTATGAAAATGCCACATCTTTTTCATCTATTCCTCAGGTGACGGGCATTTTGGTTGTTTCCAAGATTTCACTATCACAAATTGTGCTACTACAAACATAAGTGCACATATATCACTATGATATGAAAAAACAATGGTTAGATGCCACAAAGTAGATGGCAATGCCTTAACTGAATGTGTGTTGTCAGGCCTGAGGGCCTCTTCCATCCTTGTCAAAGGGAGTACTAACCTTCTCTCCTTTCATACAACACTGTGATCGATTATTGCAGGTGTGAGTTCTGCATGCTCGCTGGGGAAGGTAATTTGCATTACAAGGTAAGGAGGGGAGAGAAGCCAGCTGGATGCCTGAGGTGGGGTCACTCTCTTTTGGTCTCGCTCTCTGCCACCGCCATGAACGGCTTCTCTGTGCCATGTGCTACATTCAGCCTTGGATCCACTGAGTATGGACTGAAACCTCCATCAGCTGTGAGCTAAATAAACCTTTCCAATTCTGGAGAGATAGCTCAGCAACACAGCACCTGCCCAGTAAGCAGAAGGTCCTGAGTCTGATTCCTGGTATCAAAAGATAAATAAATAAACAAACAAACTAAAAAAATAAACCTTTCCTTCTTTCATTTTGGGTGTCAGGTATTTGTCCCAGCAATGAGAGAAGAGTAACTGAGACAATCAGTAAATCTTTTTTTTCATAGTTTTATTGATAAACTTTTTTTTCATAATTTTATTGATAAACAATCAGTAAATCTTGATCCAATTATTACACATTGTATATGTATATTGAATTATTACAGTATACTCAAATATATGACTTTCAATTAAAAATAAAAATGTATTTCAGAAAAGAAACAGTGTGTAATTGAGTCTATGGATCAAAGGGTGGTGGTAACATGACAAAATGATCAGAGAAGGCTCTAGGAAGAGATAAAATTTGAACTAAGGCTATAGAATGACAAACTAATCAGAGCGTTCAAACTGAAGGAACAGACTAAGTAGGAAAACAACAAGATGTACTTAAGTACAAGTAGGCCATTCCATGCCTGTAATCCCAGCACTTGGGAGGCTAAAGCAGAAGAATCATAAATTCAAGGCCAGCCTGGGGTGCCTAGTGAGTTGAACGCTAGCCTGGACTATACACCAACAACCTGAAAAAAATGAAAGAAAGGAGATAAGTACGTACAGAGAAAGAGAGAGAGAGAGAGAGAGAGAGAGAGAGAGAGAGAGAGAGAGAGAGAGAAATAGAAGCTGTAGATGGACAGGTAAGGGGTATCCAAGAAGGGACCTGTTGGCCATGGTTGGGAACATGGGCTTTATTGGGTGGAGGAGAGGTAACCAGGAATCAAACTCAGGACTTTGTGCTTGCCAGTGCCAGGCCCTTTGCCACTGAGCTATCTTTCCAGTCCATCATAAGCTTTACATACTTTAGTCAAAATGTAGTACATATGCCATATATGGTGGCACATGTCTATAATCTCAGCACTTGGAAAACTTGGGCAGGAGGATTGCTGGGAGTTTACAGCCAGCCTAGGCTACATAGTGAGTTCAAGCCACCCGGGACGCATAGCAAGACCCTATCTCAAACACCACCAAAAAAAGTGCAATACATGTGCCACTGGAGAATTTTAAGCCAGAAAGTGATGTGGTTAGGTGTCCATTTTTATTATTTTTTTAGGTGTCCATTTTTATTATTTTTTTTTTTTTTGGTGTCCATTTTTAAAGACCTCTATGTACCAAGCCCTATATTAGATGTTAGAAAATACTGCAGTGACAAAATTTCAGCCCTTGCCATTTTTGGAACTTGGAGAATATTTGAAGAGATTTGATAGTTTTAATAATAATGTAAATAAAAGGGGCTGGGGAGATAGCTCAGTGACTTGAGCACCTGCCTTGCAAGTGGAAGGTCCAAACCAGATGAATAAAAGAAAAAGGGAAACAAAATGTTAAGAGGAATGGAAACATTGGTTTTAGGGATGATAGCTTCCTAGAATGGTGGGAGAAAGTCTCCTTCGGAAAAGGAGATGGAGAAAACATAGAGGAATCAATAGCCTCTGAGCCCTTGCTCCATGCCAACCATTGCAATGTACTTAATACACACACTGTGCATGCCTTCTTTCCTAAAGATGTAGATGTCGCCATCCTTTATTTTAAAAAGGAGAGAGCCTGTCAGATAGCTCGGCAGGCTAAAGTGCCTGCTTAAGCGGAATGCAGCAGCCAGGGTTCGATCCCCAGTGTGCCGTGTGCCATGCTGATCCCACCCCTTGGGGAGCGCTGA